AAAAGCCCTGATGGGCCACCAGTGCCCAGAGGAAACACAGGAAATGGAGCTGCACGAGCTGATGGTCTCAGACAAACTATTCTACTGGGCTGGTGGCCTCAGCCCCAGAGCAGGAGGTGCAGAGAGCCCTGGGGGAGCAGCTGGTCCAGCCCTGCCCTGGCTGCTGCTCCCAGCCCCGTGTCTTTCCCCAGCCTCCGGGAGAACTCCATCAGCAAGGAGGGGGGCCCTGCCATCGCCCGGGCCCTGCGGAGCAACAGCACCCTCAGGAAGCTGGAGTAAGTCCCATGGGCCCCAGGAGGGCACCCAGACCACCCCGTGCTGTCCCTGGAGCTGTCCTCAACTTCTCCTGTGTGACTTGAGTCCTCTGTGCCCCCAGCTTGGCGGCCAACCTGCTGCACGATGACGGGGGCAAGGCCATTGCCTCGGCCATCGGGGAGAACCGGGCCCTGACGTCCCTGCAGTGAGTGTCCCCTGGGCAAACCTCAAACCCTGCCTGGGACAGGGGCAGGGACACTGCTCCTGGCCCTCAGCCCCTCCAGGCTGTGCCATGGCACCCCTGGGCCACCCCCCAGGGCAGGTGTGCTGTGACATCCTGGATGGACCCACGGGGTCTTGCACATCCCTGGGTGGGTGTGGAGCCTGCCTGGATCAGGGCACGCTCACAGCCCAAGGCTTCACCTCTCATTTTCTCCTGTTTGCAGCTTGCAGTGGAACTTCATCCAGGCCAAAGCAGCCACGGCCCTGGCACAAGCACTACAGTCCAACAGCAGCCTGGCCAGCCTCGAGTGAGTGGGGACACGGGTGGATGGGTCCTGGGCCCTGGTGGATGGGCAGGGCCCTTAAAGCCCATCCAGTGCCACCACTGCCATGGGCAGGGACAACTTCTGATGTCCCAGGCTGCTCCAAGCCCCATCCAACCTGGCCTTGGGCACTGCCAGGGATCCAGGGGCAGCCACAGCTGCTCTGGGCACCCTGTGCCAGGGCCTGCCCACCTCATTCTTCCCAGTATCTCATCTATCCCTGCCCTCTGGCACTGGGAAACCATTCCCTCTTGTGCTGCAACCCCTTGTCCTTGTGCCTGGTTGTTTCCACAAGTGCTCTGAGATGCTGAAAGCAGCTTTGGTGCCTCCTGCAGCTGCGAGGAACTTCTCTTCATCTTTATCTTTCTCCCTGTGGGACAATATTAATTTAGTCACATCTTGGAATGAATCTCTGCAAACCCTTATCCCAAGTTCCTCTCCAGCTCTCCTGGAACCCCTTTAGGCACTGGAAATCTCCTGTGTCCCCATAATGTGTCCCTGGCTGGGGATGCTGTAAATGCCTTGTGGCCCAGGAGCTCTCCCAAGGCATTTGGGAATGCTGGGCCGTGTGCTGGCCCTGTCCCTGCCCCTGTCCCTGTCCCTGCCCCTGTCCCTGTCCCTGTCCCTTGGCCTCGGGCACACACAGCCCTTCTGTCCCAGCCTGCAGGAGAACGCCATTGGTGACGAGGGAGTGGCCGCGCTCTCCGCTGCCCTGAAGGTCAACACCACCCTGGCAGATCTGCAGTGCGTATCCAGGCTGCAGCAGAGCCCTGCTGTCACAGCCTAATTACCCTAATTAACACACCATGGCCACCTCAGGGCTAGTGCTGAAGGGTCCCCGTTCCCTTGCAGCCTGCAAGTGGCTTCAGTTGGCGTGGCTGGTGCCCAAGCCCTGGCAGAAGCCTTGATGGTCAACAAGAGCCTGCAGATCCTGGAGTAAGTGTTCCATGGGGCCACCGAGTGCCCAGGGCTGTGCCACTGATCCCTGGGGCGCCTGAGCCTGGCCCTGGGCTCAGCACACTCCTGCCCTTGCGTGGTGATGTCCCAGACCTGTCCCTGGGCTCGCTGGCTGCTGTCACTGTCACTTCTCGCCCTCCTCCCGTCCTTCCTCACTGCTCCTTTGTTTGCAGCCTGCGAGGAAACTCCCTGGGCCCGGCGGGGGCCAAGGCCGTGGCCAACGCGCTGAAGGTGAACCGCAGCCTCCGCTGGCTCAAGTGAGTGTCCCCCCCCAGGAGCAGCTGCCCAGACACTCCCTCAGGAATGGCAGCGGCATGGCCAAGCCAGTGGTTCTCAGCAGGGCAAACCCTGAGCAGGTGGCTCTTCCCAATGCCCAGTGCATGCATTCCCTCCTGCTGACCCTCCTGCTGACCCTCCTGTCCCCCACAGCCTGCAGGAAAACTCCCTGGGCATGGACGGAGCCATCTGCATCGCCACGGCCCTGAAGGGCAACCACGGCCTCACCTACGTCAAGTAAGTGGCTGCTGCAGTGGGGGGGAAAGGCAGGGATGGGGGAGACCATGGGAACCATCCAGGGACCTTCCCCACTGCCAGCCCTGCCCGTTCCTGGCGTCCCCTGCTCCTCCCAGCGTGGCAGCCACTACCCCCACACAGCTCCAGACCCCTCAGCTCCCCTCCAGGGATGCCTCTGGGCCAAAGGACCACCTCAAAAGTATTCACAAATACTCTCCAAAACCAGGGGGGAAGTGGCTCAGAGGAACACGAGAGGCAGAGCAGGAAAAAAAGTACAAGAATATGAAAGAGAACAGAAAGTACCCAGCTGGGAGCAGGGGAGAAGGCAGCAAAGGCTGGCACAGCTCAGGTATCTGTGCCACACCAGCAGGGGACAGAGGCTGGGCACACGCCACTGGCTCTTAATAACTCCGTGAATTCCTGGAGGGGCTCAAAGCAGCCTCACTGGTTTCATTCCCTGAGCTGGGACACACGGAGGCCTGCAAAGATCCCTGAGCTCTGAGAAGCTGCAGTCAGAGGGCAGAGCCACGAGACAACTGCAGTGGCTGCAGCTCATCCCCTCCAGGGATGCCTCTGGGCCAAAGAACCACCTCAAAATTATTTCTCAGAAGACAAATACTCTCCAAAACCAGGGGAGAAGGGGCTCAGCCCCTCCAGCTGTCCAGGGCTGTCTCCAGGGCTCTCAAAGCAGAGTGCCCCTGAGCAGGGTCCCGCATGGCGTTGGGCGGGCACAGGGGCTGCCAACTGCTGGTGCACAGCTGGGCAGCATCTCCTGTCCCCACCACGGCTCCTGCTCTGCCTCGTGGCCCAGCCTGAGCTCCCTGTCCCTCCCAGCCTGCAGGGGAACCGCATCGGGCAGTCGGGAGGCAAGATGATCTCGGACACCATCCGCAGCAACTCGCCCGACTGCGTCGTGGACGTCTGAGGGGCCCCGGCTGCAGCGAGGGGGACCCGGGGGTGCCCCCGGCCTGGGTGGCTGCAGGGAGCTCCTTGGTGCCCATCTCAGGGACGAGAACTGGGCAAGGAAAGCTCCTGAGCTCCCAGCACAGCCCAGGAGGACCGAGGGTGTCGGATCAGGAGTGCAGGAGGGTCAAGACTCACGTTGAAAGCTGAGGGATGTGTGTGCCCATGTCTGTGTTCATCCAGGCCCTGGGGGAAATGAAAAAAGGAGCGAGAAGGGGCAGATGCCACATGCCAGACCTTGTTTTTGTGGGGGATTTACCTGCTGGTGGCAGCAACTCCTCCTGTGCTTTGTCACCCCTGGCTACAAACAGCCCAGTCCAGCAGGCTCCCCTTGAAATCACAAATGGGCACAAGAGATTTGCTGCTGCCTTGCTCAGGTGGGAGTGATGCTGTGGACCTGGGCACTTCCAGCAGGTCCTGCCTAGTGCCGTGCCCTCAGACACAGCTGGAGTGTTTTCTATCAAAGAGAGAGGTAACCCAAGGCATAGGAGTGGAACCATCTAGAAAGACCTTTGGAAATAAGGAGTCCTCAGGAAAATGGAGGAGTAAAAGGGGAATGTAAGAGGATCTGCACTGCCTGAGGGTGGGATGTCTCCAGTACATCTTGGTGCTACACCAGGACTGCCTCAGCTCAAACTCCTGCCTCTCAGTTTCAGGCTGGAGCTCTTGGATCTCCTGCTGCTGTCACTGGTGTTCTGTGGCTTTGGGATGTGTCCTCCCCGTGTCCCACCTGCAGGGTCTGTCCCTAGCAGGTCAGCTTCTGACTAGGACAGAGACCCAGTGGCTCTCCAGAGATGCCAGCTTTGCAGGTGACCCAGCAGCCAAACAGTGAAAACTTGGAGCCCCCTGAAGCCACTGTCCCCTGTCCCCAGCCAGGACATGCTGCCACACTCAGGGCAGCCAGGGGCTGCTGCAGGGAGCTGGGGGCTGATCCCAGAAACATTGGGCTGAGCTCTGGAGATGTAAATGCTTGGGAATAAATTGGTTCCTGGATGAGAAGATGCCTCGTGCAGCCTTGCTCTGGCACTGCAGGACATTTGGGATGGGCTGTGCTGCACTGCCCTGGGCTGAAGGCTCAGGTCACTGGCACAGGGTGCTGCTGCTGGCTTTGCCAAATGCCTGCTGGCTGTGCTGGAGGCTAGGTGGCACTGCTGCCTGGACAGAGAGGCTCTGCCTCTGTGCACACCAGGTGTGGAGTCACTTTTCCATCTGGGCCTACAGTGCAGGAAATAGAAAACTGTGACCCAAAACTGCAGCCCAGAATGGGACACTGGGCCTGGTCTCAGGGGTCAGACCATCACAGAATGGTTTGGTTGGAAGGATTCTCAAAGCCCATCCATTTGCATCCCTGCCATGGGCAGGGTCACCTTCCACTATTCCTCCAAGCCCTGTCCAGCCTGGCCTTGGGCACTGCCAGGGATCCAGGGGCAGCCACAGCTGCTCTGGGCACCCTGTGCCAGGCCTGCCCACCCTCCCAGGGAACAATTCCTTCCCCATATCCCATCCATCCCTGCCCTCTGGCAGTGGGAGCCATTCCCTGTGTCCTGTCCCTCCATCCCTTGTCCCCAGTCCCTCTGCAGCTCTCCTGGAGATTTCTCTGGAAGGGGCTCTGAGGTCTTCCTGGAGATTTCTCCATTTTTAGCTCCACTCCTTCAGTCTACCTGCTGCTGCTCTTTGTGCAGACAAGCCATTGATTAAGTAAAGGATGTGTTTAGGATAAATAGATTTAAGCCAGATTTAAAACCAATTGAGATGCATTCCCAGAGCAGCTTTTTATCCAGTTTTATTAAGCCAAAGAAATCTATTTGGACATAATAAAATGCAGGGAAATCAGGACACGATGCTCACTGGAGTGAGGCTTCTGGCACTGCAGTGCACAAGAGCCAGTTTAATGCAATTATGGAAATAAATGCACATTACTGTGATTCTCATTATGGATAAACTGCTCATGCTTTGAGATTCACAAACCTGGCAATCCAAGTTTAATTTTCAGGTTTAATGAACATTATTTACCAACTCCTGAATTCACACTGACACACACTTTTCAGACAGCAGGGTATTAGCTCCTGGCTTCTCCAAGGTTTGTGCCTCAAGAGGGCTCCTGCTACTGAAGGGTCAGAAGTCATTATCACTTTGCTCCAGTGGCTCTGGCTTCCTGACTCGGAGACTGGATTTGCCTGGGGAGATTTCCATGCTGTCATCTTCCAGATCATCCTCCTCCTCCTCATCTTCATCTTCATCCAGGTCAATCTCACTATCCCCTGAGTCGTCCTGCAGGACAGGGAACAGGAGTCCATGACCAGCTCAGCTGTGCCATGGCCAGGCCTCTTTGCCAGCCCAAAGTGAGGGATGGCAGTGCTGGCTTCCCCTGCACTCCCCACGGATTGCAGACCTCCTTCCCCACCCCACGGGGCTGGTGAACACAAATTCCCTGACTTCTGCTGCCTCTGGGCTAGTAAAAGCTTGTCAGGGTGTTTAACATTCAGGTGGCAGCTCCTGTGAGCCCACAGAATGGAGGGGAAGTGAAGAGAAGGAAGCCCAGGAGAGGAACCCCAGGAGAAGAACCCACCTGAGCCTTGCTCCGGCCTGGCCGCGCCGGGGCTGGGGTCCCCTTGGAGGAACACGAGAGGCAGAGCAGGAAAAAAAGTACAAGAATATGAAAGAGAACAGAAAATACCCAGCTGGGAGCAGGGGAGAAGGCAGCAAAGGCTGGCACAGCTCAGGTATCTGTGCCACACCAGCAGGGGACAGAGGCTGGGCACACGCCGCTGGCTCTTCCTAACTCCATGAATTCCTGGAGGGGCTCAGAGCAGCCTCACTGGTTTCATTCCCTGAGCTGGGACACACGGAGGCCTGCAAAGATCCCTGAGCTCTGAGAAGCTGCAGTCAGAGGCAGAGCCATGAGACAACTGCAGTGGCTGCAGCTGAGGGGAGTCACAGGCTGCAGGACTTGGCTTTCCATCCCTGGATGTGCTGGAGCTGTGCAGGGACAGAGCTGCCAGCAGGGAAATCCTGAGAGAACAGAAATCACACAGGGTGAACATCCAAATCTGTCACTAACGTGGCCAAGGACAATCAGACAGCGCTGGGACTAAAGTGACAACATCACCCACAGCACAGCACTCTGCCCTTCCCAGAAATTGGTCTGGATGTCCAGGAGGTACCAACAGCCTTCACCACATCCATCCTGGCAGGAGCAAAGAGAAGAGCATGGACTGCCAGTTCCTCTCCAAGACACAAGGTGATGGTGCCCCAAAGGCTGTGGCTGCCCCACCCCTGAATTGTTTTTAAGTCAGGTTGGATGGGGCTTGCAGCAACCTGGTCTAGTGGGTGGAACAAAGTGGGTTTTAAAGTCTCTTCCACCTCAAACTGTTTTGGATTCCCAGAAATGTCTGAACTCCCCTCTTTGAGGGTTGTCTGCTGGATTGAGACAGCAAGGTTCCACTACACTGGGAATTTACAGCAGCACAGGCTCAAACACAAACCCACAGCCACCACAGACTCCAAGAACAAAGGAAAGATATGGAAATACGTGTCTGTGCTGAGGAAAGGTGTCAGCCATAGGAAAGGAGGGGGAAAGCAGGCCTGGGGTGTGAGGATTCAGCAGGTAAAAAGGTGTCCCTCCAGCTGAGGAGAGGGCTGGCATCTAAAGCCCTGTCAGAGAAGCTCTGCAGACACATGAGATGGTTACTCACATCTTCCTCCGTGTCTCCACCTTGCATTGATCCCACGATCCGTGTGCCAACTCTTCCTGCAGGAACAAAGAGAATCCCCATCAAACCTGGCTGGTGGTCACAGGAGCAAACAGAATCCCCATCAAACCTGATTCATGGTCACAGGAACAAACAGAATCCCCACCAAACCTGGCTGGTGGTACAGGGAGGGAGGAGGAAGGGTAAAGCTCACGGTGCATCCCTCAGTGAGAAGATGAGATCCCAATTAATGCAGTCACTCCCCTTGTTAAGCCTCATTGCTCAGGAGAAGGTAGCGGGGAGTAGGGTTGACAGTAATTAACATTGGACTCAATGATCTTGGAGTTTTTCTCCAACATTAATGATTCTGTGACTCTAGTTCCAGTCAGGGTGCTGTTTCCAGAGCTATTCCAGCATGATGGTTCTGGCAGGACAAGAGGTAATGGACACATTAAGAAACAGGAAATTCTATCTGAACCAAGAAACCTTTTATTATGTGAGGGCAGTCAAACACTGGAACACAGTTGCTAAGAGAAATTTAGCAGTCTCCATCCATGGAGACACTCAAAAGAAACCGGATGTGGTCCTGGACAAGCAGCTCAAACCTCCTGCTAGAGCAGAGAGGCTGCTCTAGATCATCTTGAGAGGTCCTTCCAACCCAAAAAATCCATGAACTGACACATTCCTTCTTTTGCTTTGGTACAGAGAACAAAAGCCTGGTTTTCTCATGTGCTGAACTCTTTCTCCTTTAGAGAGTTCAGTCCCTTTCTGATATTCCAGGATGGACTGAATCTCACAGGAAACCCAGGCAAACCTCAAGAATTCCCTGCTGGAGTGAGATGTGTGAGGCTGAGGAGGGAGCTGGGGATCTGCAGGGAGCTCACAGAGGGGAGCACACACGTGTGCCTGCTGGCTGGGGAAGATGTCAGCAGGTGCCCTTTGCTGGGGAGGCAGCCTGGAGGTGTTGGGAACGGGGAGAGCAGAGCTGTGAGCAGGAGAAGCTCCTGGGGGCTGCCTGGGTGCCTCAGCCCTGCTGCTGCAGCCACACAACCCCCTCAACACTGGATCCTATTTCCAGCCCCGCTGTGTCCATCCCGTCCCACCATCTGTTCATTTCCTGCCATCACAGCTTCCTCCATGCCAAATACGGAGTGTTCCAACCTACAACAAGCCAATCTGTGCTGTTTTCAGCATGAAAACAAGGCAGATTTAAAATATACCCTGGCAAACCTCTTTTTTCTACTTCCCAAAGCACAAAAGACAACAGGTCCCCTTTGTCCCACGCAGTTTGAGCTTAGTTAGTGGTAGGAAAAAGCTGCCTAACTCACCCACAGCTCACCAAAATACCCTTGTTGTATCAAGGCAGATCATTAAAACGATTTTATGTCTTCATATAAAAATCAGTGGCCTCTATGCAGCAGTTGCTGGTAACAGAGGAAATGGAGATGGAATTAAAAGATTTCTGGATTGATCTGTCTTCAGGTTTTGGAGACTTTTGCTCTAATTTATGCTACACTAAATGATACATATTTGGAGGTGATTACACCTGACATCCTTAGATGACAACAGAACCCCATTTTTGCCCAGCCTACAAGTGACTCTTGAGTTTAACTGCAATTTTACTCTGCAGAACGCTCAACATAAAGTGTAAAATTGGGAATTACTACCTCAAAAAGGAGAAAGCTGCAGGGAGCTCCTAAAATAAGACAAAACTGAGAGATTCTGAATATAAAAGAGAATCAAGGTATCAGATGAGGAGACCTGATGGAATAGGAAAGTTCAAAATGCCATGGGAAGAGCTTAGAGAATGCTCACAGGGGTGTGAGGATGCTGCTCCTCCCTCAGTGGGAGAGTGCAGACATCCTATGGACACATAACTGCTCACACCTGGAGGAACTCCAGCATCTGCTACTGCCTGGACCTGGATCCTGCATTGTCTAAGCCAGGAGCACCTCTCTGAACTAGCAACTGTGGGATCAGTAGGGTTGGGTCCTGCAGCAAACCCTGGGACACTCCCAGGAGAGAACCCAGGATGCAGAGGGGCTGGGATTTCACTTGAGCACTAAACTGTAAAGAGGAAAGAAATCAGATTTTCCATGGAGCATTATTTTCACTCCCAGACCATAAACCCCCACGTTTCCCTGTGTGGGGAACGGCCCTGGTGTGTTCCTGCATGCACTGGGGGCAGGCAGGGAACAGAGGACACCTGCATGGCACAGGGAGAGCTGGGGATGTTGTCACTTGGCTTCCTGGCTCAGTTCAGCTGCCAAGAGGAGAGGGCCTGTGGTGCTTCCTTCCAGATAATGTGAATCCAGCTGGGACAGGCTGTACAGAGCAGTAATTAGGAAAGATGCTGGTAATGAACAGGCTGTGATTCACTGCACCTTTGGAATCAAATCTCCCTGTGCATGGCCATGGTTTGTAGGCACTGAGCCCTCAGAGAGCAGAAGGAAACGTGCATCCCTGATCTGGAGCCTGGGAGCTGCTGCCATTTTCCCTCTGTGTGATGCTCCCAGTGTACCAACCTGTGCAGCTGCCCAGGATGGAGCCACAGGGCTGGGATGATTTCCAGCTCCTCACCCAGCAGTGGGTACAGGTTAACCCCGTGCCTCACAGCAAGGAGTGACACACAACCTGAGACAGCCTGGAGGGGGCCAGGTGGATCTGGAGCTGACACATTTTGCTCCCAGTCTGGAGATCTGCAGTCAGTCTCCAGTGCTTAATGGGAATTCACAGCATGAGCTCGCAGAAGACACCTCTCTTCCCTCTGCATCACATTCCCTTCCCCACATGGAAAAATGGGATGAACTTTCTGCCTGATCCTTCTGAACTGCTGTCCTTTGGGCACTGTGCTCTCAACCACAGCATGATTGAATATCCTGAAATGATGATCCTGAATATCCCCCAAAGATGATCCAGTCTCACCCCTGGCCGTGCACAGACACCCCAACAATCCCACCCTGTGCCTGAGCATTGTCCAAGACTCCTGGAGCTCTGGCAGCCCCGAGGCTGTGCCCATTCCCTGGGGAGCCTGGGCAGTGCCTCTGGGGGAAGAACCTTTCCCAAAATCCAGCCTGACCCTGCCCTGGCCCAACTCCAGCCATTCCCTGATTGGAGCTGCAGCTCCCTCTGAGCTCTGCCCTCAGTCTCCTTCTCCAGCTGAACAATCCAAGTGCCCTCAGCTGCTCCTCAGACCCTTCCCTGTGCCCATGTCCCTCCTTTGGGCACTCCCCAACAGCTTTAGATCCCTCTGACATTGTGGTTGCCCCCAGGACTCATGCTGAGGCCCCACCAGGGCAGGGCAGAGCAATCCCCTCCCTCCCTCAGTGCAAGACCCTGATCCCAGCAGCATTTTCCAGGCATTGCCAAAATCCAGGGACTCATGAAGCACAGTTTATTTCTTACACCTCCCTGAAAAGGAAATCTGCTTGGAGGTGAGGGAGCTGTTCCCACCATTTCAACCTACAGCCTCCCCTCCTTCTTCACTAGGTCTGATGCTGGGATGGCCCACATCTCGGGGAGGCTGAGAGGGAAGGAAAACATTCTGGAAATTCCACAGCAGAAATCTGAACATGGCCACAAGCTGGAGAGAGAAATTCCACAAGCAGAGTGACAATTCCCACTGAGAACAGGACTTTCCTGCTTTTCAGCCTGCCTGCAGTGTGGAAGGGTTGGAATCAGGACTGTAGAGGCTCACCTGAGAAGATTTGCATGTCAAAACTCTCCTTTTCCCTACAGGACTGAAAGAATTGAGGGATAACTCGGGCTCTGCAGCCTTCCCCCAGCATGCAGGGTGCCACAGGCACTCAGCAGCAAGTGCCCTCTCTGCCAGCACATCATTAACACCCTGATCCACCAGCTCTGCCAAGGAAAGGGGCTCCAAGAGAGCTGGACTCACTGTGTGACTTTGGACTGATTGGCTGCTAAAAAAACAGGGTTTTGTAAAGATTTCTTCTTACATTAAAGATTAAATGGGGCTGAAGTTGTTCCTGTCTCAGTAGTGAAATGGTCTCTGAGGTCTGGGCAGGACAAAACCAGCCCTTAACACCAATGTTATAAAAGGAAATGAGCTACAGCACGGGGAGGAATGGTTCACAGGAGCTGAAACACCCTGGCAGTGTGGAATAGAAGGTGATTTCCAGGCACAGCTCCACGGGGATGGACTATTTCAGCTTCACTCAGCAGCACTGCCTTGTCACCAGCACAGTGTGTCCCAGTCTGCCACCTCTGGGAGGGGAAAGGTCCTCATGATGCCACTCATTCAGGACTCTGGTCCAAGTGACTTGAAAAGATGGACCTGCACATGGAATCATAACAGCACCTCAAAATCTGTCACTTCTGATTGTGTGGGTGACAAAAATCTATTTAGTTCAAGGGGAGCCTGGACAGGTTCTTAGGAGAAAATAAATATACTGAGGGTAAGCTTAAATCTGTGCAAGCCACAGGTGATGGGGCTGAAACATTTTGAGAGCAGCAGAGAACCTGAGGAAGTTCCCATGTGCTTCCCCAGACATTTTCTGTCAGCCAGGAGACAGAAAATGGAGGAAAAAAGCCAGGGAGAGCCCAGGCTGGCTGGATGCTGTGGCTGACCCAGCACCCCCAGGATGATTCTGCATTCCCAGGACAAGGCTGTGCATCCTTTACCCCAAGGTCCATCCCAGCTGCACATGAACTACCATCCTGCTGCAAACAACTCATCTAGGGTCTGTTTCAGGCAAGAGGTTTCTCTACACTGCAAATAGTTAAGACTTTCAATGCTGGAAGGAGTTCTTTACCTTTGGCTCTCTGTCAAAACAAGAATCTTACTGCAAGTGCCACCACAAATTCAGGGAAGTATTTGTATTTGTCACAGCCTCAAATATCTATTGCCAGACAGAATAAAAATGGATGTGAAATTTTATTCACACTGACAATGCTAAAATTAAAATGTACAGACCAGACTGCCTCCAGCTCTGGCATCTCCAGCACAGGAAGGACGTGGAGCTGCTGGGAGAGGAGCCCATGGAGATGCTTCAAGGGCTGGAGCCCCTCTGGAGCCAGGCTGGGAGTGCTCCCCTGGAGAGGAGAAGGCTCCAGGGAGGGCTCAGAGCCCCTTCCAGGGCCTGGAGGGGCTCCAGGAGAGCTGCAGAGGGACTGGGGACAAGGGATGGAGGGACAGGACACAGGGAATGGCTCCCACTGCCAGAGGGCAGGGAGGGATGGGATATTGGGAAGGAATTGTTCCCTGGCAGGGTGGGCAGCCCTGGCACAGGTGCCCAGAGCAGCTGTGGCTGCCCCTGGATCCCTGGCAGTGCCCAAGGCCAGGCTGGATGGGGCTTGGAGCAGCTGGGACAGTGGAAGGTGTCTCTGCCATGGCAGGGGTGGGATGAGATGAACTTTAAGGCCTTTCCCACCCAAAGCAGTGTTGATTCTGTGATAAATCAGTGTGTTCTCTAATCTACAAAAGCAAATGATCATGACACATGGGTTTACTACAACAAGGCCCCTAAGGAGGGGACTTTCCTGTGATATTGTGACAATTCAGTTTCCAGGCTCACAGGCAGCACCTGCAGCTTGGCCCCTGCTCCCCCACCATGAGCTCTCACCTCCCTGCTCCCTCCTGGATCAGAGCCCTTCCTGCTTCCCTACTGCAGCTTTTGCCCTGTTTGCTGGCCCAGCAGCACTGAGGTTAAAGCTCCAGAGCCCATTCCAGCTTCCTTCTCCAGCTGCTCCTGCCTGCTCCTCTCTGCTCGTGGGGAAGGGGTTGATTTTCTCTCTGCACCTCACAAATCTCCCCCAGCCCCCTCCTTGCTGCTCCATGGGAAACCAAATTCTATAACTTCAAGTCTTTTAATTGCCTGAAAGAATAAAACCAGGAGCAATATTGCCAAACCTGCATTTAGTTTAAATTTTGCTGTATCTATACAGGGCTGATGAAAGGGTTCTTGAGGGTGAGTGTGCTGATTTTTCTCAATTATACCAAGTGGCCTAAAAAGAGGGATTATCTCTCCCTGAGAATCTTGCCTCTATAATGGCAAAACATACTGGAATATCTGCCCACCACAGCGAGAGGGAGGAAGCCTTATCTCCCAGCACTGACAGCCTGGGAATTAGAAATGTAAAATATGTAAATCAGAATGTAAAAAAGATATAAAAGTGCACTCCAGCAGCCACAGGGACTGAGCACAGTCCTCAGCTTGAGAGCAAACGTGGCTCAGCAGCATCACCATGGAAGAAAACACAAAGCTTCAAATGAAAGTGATTGAAATAAATTAAATCAAGGAAAAAAGCAGTAATTAATAGAAATAATGTTCTTGTTATGCTGCCTTGATCATTAAGTATATTTTAAATGCAAATTGCTGAAGAACATCAGCAGATGTGTGGTGTGTTCAAGAGCAAACATTCAGCCCTGGTTTTCTAAAGAAGCTGCTGCTTCTGACATTAATCTCAGGTCTGATGAAATAATATTGAGTTTTCATTAAGGGTAATTAATGATAACAAAGCTCTTCCTAGAAAAGAAAAATCTATTGGCAGAAAAATCTACAACTTTTATAGAGTAAAACTCTAAAATTGCTATTAAGAGCAGCAGGGACTCAGGTTATGGTGTTCTCTGAGATGAAGCATCACAGACAGCTACAGGGTCCCTTCCAAAGCTCCAAAACCTGTGTACAAACCTTTCCTTGAGAAATGCCAATGTAAAATATTCCTTAGAGAATATCAGTGTTTCTAGCACTTTTCAATTTTCAAGAAAAACAAAGGAAGGGAGGATTAAAATGCTTAAATGACACTGAGTGGAGAGTATCAGCTTCTTTCTCTGGTCTCAGTCAGAGAGGGAAAAGCAGAATTCCCCTCACAAAACCCCCATGTCTGCAGTTTATCTAAGGAACAGCTTCCAGCAGGAGTGGTGGCACATGAAACCCCCACACAGGCACTTCCTCCAGAGCCCAGAGAGGTTTGTGCTGACAGCTCAGAATCCCTCACTGCTCACAAAAGAACTACCCTGATTTCCTGGCTGTGCTTGACTCCAGACTAAGCAGAACATTTCTTTTCCCTCCCACAGACTCTCACACAGCAGTTCCTCTGAGCTGCTTGGGAGCAGTGGGAGCAGCAGTTGCAGTTGCACTCCCCAGGAAGAAGGAGAGAAGGACAGAAAGACAGAAGGCTCAAATCCCTCCCTGGAGCAGCAGCTCAGGTGTGCTCCACCTGTGCCAAGGCAGTGCAGGTGGCTTTACTGACTCACTGAAGGTTTCCCAGCTGAAACAGGTACCAACAGCTACAGGGAAATAAATGCTTTGCAATGAGAAATGGTATTGCCTCCCTAAGGCTTTGTGCAGAACTGCTTCAGGAATGTGGCAGGCAATACCAAGGCAGGATTTTCCCCACACAGTCATTTTTTTCCCAGTAAATAATCCTGCATTTGCTCCCTTGGAAGCACTGTTTTTTCCACAGGGCTTTAATCCTCCTGCAGCTCCTGAGAGCTGAGCAGTGCCAATGTCCTGAAGGGTGACAGGGGCTTCTTACATTTGCAACTACTCAGGTAATTCCAGGACATCCTTGTGGCTCAAGGCAGCTCAGGAGGGGTTGGGATACCTGGCAGGAGAGTTTCTGTGCCAATGCGGTGCCTCGTGATCTGCAAATCCCCCTCGCTGTCAGATCCTTCATCCTCCTGGATTTCTATGTCAGAGTCATCATTACCTGGTTAAAAACAAAGCCAGCTGATTAATATCACCCACAGCAACCCCCAGCCCAGAGCAGCAGTTGGATACAGGAGATTGCAGCAGTTCTACCTTTGCTCAAGCCCAAGAGGAATTGAGAATTCCTGCAGAGAGCACTGGCTCTGCAGGGGAGCCCAGGGAATGGCCAATACCCACATCCCAAGGAGAAATCCTTCAGCATGGGAGAGCCAAAGCAGCACTCACTGGAAACAAGAGCCTTGGGACAATCCCAGGCTGTGGCATAAAGGTGCTGCTTAAATGTCCCCTCTGGGCATGAAGAGAAGGTGCTACTTCAGCAAGTGACTGAAAGATAAAACTCTTTGAAAAGCATTTGGGAAGTGTGTGTTTATTAGTCTGGTTTTACCCTGACACCAGCAATGTCAAAACACATCTTCTTGGACTTTTTGCCTTTAATTTAATTCTACATAAGCCTAGTTCCACATCCCCAGATAAAGGAATGCAGCTCCAGCCAAACCCAAGATGCTGGAGAGACAGGGAAGCTTCCAAAGACCAGGAACTTCTTCTGATATTTTCATCATCTGCCCTTGTTTCCTTCTCCCCATCCAAAGCAGATGGGAGGACCCTGCACAGCAACATTTGCTGCTGATTATTTAGAGAAAATAGGCAATTCTTTCCCAGGTACATTTAATTACACACATGTCCAAACTGAAAATGGAAATAACTACTTTAATTAGGATTAGTAATGAGCTGACACATCTTGGCAGTATTTAATTATCTGACAATATACAAATATTACATGTTTTTCCATCCTCCTTTTCACTGAATATTAAGTTAATGAGAAAATAATAATGGCAAGGGAAGTGTCTGCCAGCCTGGTAAGATTACAAGGCTCCAGCAGAGTTAGCTACAATTTGTATTTGCACTTTCTTCTTTGGCAGGTGAGGGAATCACTCACTGCTGTGTGACCTGGATGCTGCTTCTGTTTGCCTGGCATTTAGGAAACTGAGGTTTTGTTCAGCCTGGCATGGGCAAAGTCCTTGGGAGGAGCCACGTGGAGCTTACAGAAAGGATCCAAGTTTGTGCTCAATATATTAAAGAATGAATTTATCATAGCTGTGATGGCTCTTACTGCTACTAAAATGCCCTCATTCTTATTTTGTGGGGTTTTTTTCCTTCTCACTTGGTAATTTATTTTATTTTTAGCAGCAATTTCTCTCTTTCAGGCTTTGTCATTCCTGTTAGGCAGCAGCACTGGCAGGAGCTGAGGATGCTGCAGGGAGCCCATTGATTACTTGGCCAAAGCTTTCCCATTCCATGCTCATTTGTGCTTCCTGCTCCTGTCTGGGATCTCCTGAGCATGAGCTGCCAGCTGGGCAGGGTTGGGTGGGATATGGGGAAGAAATTCTCCCCTGTGCCTTTAAAGAGCCTGGATTCAAGCCAAATGAGAATAAAAATGCATCACCTGAACTCCCAGCATGTCATGGAAAGGCCAGGCTTGGACCAGACCTCAAAGCCCATTTTGTTCCACTCCCTGCCATGTCCAGGGACACCTTCCACTGTCCCAGGGTGCCCCAAACCCCATCCAGCCTGGCCTTGGGCACTGCCAGGGATCCAGGGGCAGCCAGAGCTGCTCTGGGCACCCTGTGCCAGGGCCTGCCCACCCTCCCAGGGAAGAATTTCTTCCCAATAACCACAGTCCAGCAGTTTTCCTGCTGAGTTGTGACTTTGAAATAAATCCTGTTATGGATCCATGGCAAGAGTTTGGGTTTTCCTTGAACAGGCTGGCTGGAATCCTGGAGCACAGAGCCCAGCTCGGAGCATCACTGCAGTGAACTCATGCCAGAGGCTCAGAGAAGTGACAGCTGCAAATTCAGCAATATCAAAATTCCTGCCTCCAAGCCTCCTGCTCTCTCTTGAAAAGACATGAAGCAGCTTTTTCACTCCCCAAAACCAAACACACTGCTGCAGTCCAGCCCAAGGGCTGCTATCTCCAAGCCCAGCTCTGTCCATGTACAGCCTGAGTGACCAGCTGAGCTGAACTGTGCTGACCTTAAATCCCAAGGACACAGAACCAGAGCAAAGTGCTAAAAAATTATCCAAATACACAAGAGAAAGAGAAACTGAGTATAGGCTTTTATCAGGATTAAATTAAACACCAGCCCAGCCCAGTGTGACCTGTCCTAGGCAGGGTTCCACACTCTACACCCTCTGTGCCCAGCTTTCACCAAAATATTCTTGGTATTCATAACAAGTGACAGCTCAGAAAATTTCATTTAACAACATGCAAAAAGATGTACTGCCCTAGAGGAAGCCACTATCTCATTTGTGTGCCACTGCACAGACACCTACAATCAATTTTGTAGAGACAAGGAACATTCCTTATGAAAAACCAGATTTTTCTCAGGATCAGCATAAAGCAATGAAGATAATCAGCCACAGCACTACAAATTGCCATGTGCTTTACATGGAGTACAGAACCCACTGAATGGAGCTGGCTTATGAGATTTATATGGGTTTACATGAGGATTATTGAAATTCTCTCAACAGACTTATTTATTATTATTCAACAATCCATGTGCTCCAATTGAGGCCAAGCTGGCAGCTTCCAGAAGCTTCAGATGGAGGTTTTAAGCAGCTCTTGTATTTTTATTATGAAAAGGTAATCAGCAGAACTAGTCTGTAAATTGTGCTGAGCCCATCTTGCCACTGCTGTGATTACCTCTGCTGCACAGAAAACACTCCAAATATCAGCCTGAGAGAGGATATATTGGGATTTTAAACCCCACTTGCCTTTCATTCCAACATTTCTATTCCATAAATACAGGTTTCAGTCAACTAAATTAGTTTCCTTTAAAGCTGTCCAGCCACAAAAAATACACCCTGGTTCCACTGATCTCCAAAGGTGGGATTTTTGTTCCTGCTCCCACTGCTCTCAGAAAAAAAAAGCCAGAGCTGATACCTGGACAGATAATACTACATTGAAATGATTTAATTTCTGGTAATTTGCAATGCTTGAAAGAAAAGCAACATGACTTAATAACTTAGCAGTGATCTCATTGCAGATTTGGTAGTTTGCATCAATATTCAAGTAAAGGTATCCAGCTGTAAAATAAGAAGTTACTGTGGTGAGGATAATGAGCTCAGTGGCCATTGTTTATTGATAAGCTCTGGAATTAGCTGTAAGTGCTGTGCAGTGTGTCCAATTTCATCAGAAAATCACTGCCTTGCAAACACAGGCACTGGCTCCACAGCAATTACTGCACCCAGCAGGGGCTGGTTTTGGTGAGAAAACATCATGAGAATAATCAAATGGGCAACTGACTGACGTTCTCCCCTCCTTAGCCCCCTGAATTATCAGGCTAGCCCAGAGATCTGAGGCTGTGAGGGGAGGAATATCAGGAGATGGCAAAGATTTCCAAAAGAGGCTCTTAGCCCGAGATAGTTGGTACAGCTCTCTTTATTCTGTGATGTCCATGTGGAGAGTGGGGCAAAAGAGGACAAACAGGAAATTTCAGGGGTCTATATAGACTTTGGACAGGGTGGGCTTCTCTGGCTCTCTCCCAACCCCATTGGGGCAGGAAGGAGGGTCCAGGGTTATCTTGATCAGAGTCACAGGGTCCCAGGGAAGGGGAAACAGAGTGCCCATGAGCTCACTGTAACAACTGACAGCCACTTGATCCCAAATTAAACCCAGTTAATAAACAGCATCAAATAAGGGAACAGCAAAACCCAAAGCGGGTGGGACTGGGGTTTTTGATGTGGTGAAGGAGACTGAAAGCCAGTGCCCAGTGAAAGCCTCAGCTCTGCTAAACTCATCCTGTTGTCACACCAAACCCCCACCACCAGGCTCTGGATCAGCCTGCACACTCCTAAACCCACAGCTCTGCAGTCTGAAGGAAAAGAAAGGCTTGGATAGAAAAATACCTGGAGGGAAGGTCCTCTGTCCTTAGCACAAACTGAGATCTCATCCCATCTCCAAGATGAATTCAGCCAGGTACTGAGAGCTACTGAGCAAGGGCCAGATGTGAGTAACTCCTGGGAATTCCATGGAAAAATTGGATGTTCAGAGCTGTGCAGCCAAAACTGGGCAGTAACAGCAACACACAGCAACAACAAGGTTGCAGAGGTAGCTCTAAGTGCACTTATTTACCTTGCATGGTCATTGTAAGGTCACAGAATTATGGAATAATTTGGGTTTCAAGGGACTTTATCCCAATCCAGCCCTGCCATGGGCAGGGACACCTCCCCTAACCCAGGCTGCTCCAAGTGCATCCAGCCTGGTCTATCTACAGACCTAAACTCCCAATTTATCAGTGAGGATGATTAACCACTGCCCGGGGAACCAACAGGTGTCAGCCATTTGAAGTAATTAAAATTAACTCAGGATGACAAGCTCCACTTAAACTGGGATTTGGAGTTTTAGCAGGACTGAGCAGTTAGGTTATTTTTGGGCCTATTTGATAAAGAGGTCATATTTGGTGACCAGAACTATTTCTAACAGTCTTACAAGCCAAAAACCCATCCAAGCACTATTAAATTAGGTAATGAATTTGCAATTACCCAACAAGCACCACACAAAGCTCCTGTGGACCAGTTCCAAGTGTCTCTGAAGAAGATGGATGGCCCAGGCACCAGTAAAATCATCCAGGAATCATCCCTCCAATCCCACAGCTGCTGCAATGGGGCTTTTTTGTCTGCTGGCAGATTTTAAAACAAGAGCTCTGGAGCAGAAAGGGTGCACCCAGGAGCATCAATTAAATCCTGTGGTTATTGCTGAACTACATTCAAGTAGTGCAGATTTCCAAATGCTGGAGGGAATGAATGTTTATTCATGCTACAGACCAAGCAAGAGGATGCAGGATGGACTGACTGAAGCAGCACAACAGAAAGTGGTAGAGTCAATGAAAATTTCAGTTTTACAGCAAATACTTCTGCATATTTAAATTAATCCTGGGCACAGCATTGGCCAAAAGAAATAAATGAAATATCTTTAAAAATCCAAAGCATTCATATTTGATA